AAATAAATAAATAAATAATAAAAAACTAAAAAAAAAAACACATCAGATAAACCCAAATTACCTGTACTCTTCAAAAATGCCAATGTCATAAGACACAAAGACAGACTGAGGGACTTCCAGGTTGAAGGAAACCAGAGACCTGAGAACTAGGGGCAATGCCTGGTCCTGAATCAGATCCTGGATTGGAGAAAGAGTTGCCATGGAGAACATCAGAGGGACAAGATGTGGAATTTGAATACAGACTGTATCTATATATATAAAAGCCTAAGCGACCGTTATGATCAGACGACCAGATGACTGGCCGGTAGCTATGACGTGCACTGACCACCAAGGGGCAGACGATCAATGCAGGAGCTGCCCCCTGGTGGTCAGTGCACTCCCAAAGCAAACCTCCCATGGTCCCTCCCCCTGCCGGCCTTCCCCGATAGGCCCCAATTGGCCCCGATCTCTAGCCAGGCAGAAGGACTGGACCTGTGCACAAATTCGTGCACCAGGCCTCTAGTCCTATATAATAAAGTGGTAATATGCAAATTGACCATCACACCCTTGCACAAGATGGCCGCCCCATGCAGTCACAAGATGGCCACCCCCATGTCATCACAAGATGGCCTGCAGGGGAGGGCAGTTGGGGGCGACCGGGCCTGCAGGGGAGTGTCTTAACAAAAATTTGTACATGAATATTTATAGCAGCATTATTCATTATAAATAAAAGGTGGAAACAACACAAATTACCATCAACAGATGAATGGATAAAATAAGTGGTAGATACATAAAGTGAAATATTATTAAGAAGTACTAATACATACCATAGTATATATGAAATAAAAAGATGATGTTAAGTGAAAGAAGCCAGTTATAAAAGATCTATGTTACATTAAACCATTAAATGCAATATCCAGAATCAATCAATCTGTAAAGTCAGAAAATAGGTTAGTGATGGCTTAGTCCAGGGGTGGGCAAACTTTTTGACTTGAGGGCCACAATGGGTTCTTAAACTGGACTGGAGGGCCGGAACAAAAGCATGGATGGAGTGTTTGTGTGAACTAATATAAATTCAAAGTAAACATCATTACATAAAAGGGTACGGTCTTTTTTTTTTTAGTTTTATTCATTTCAAACGGGCCGGATCCGGCCCGAGGGCCGTAGTTTGCCCACGGCTGGGTTAGGGGGTGATCAGGCAGGCAGGCAGAAGCAGTTAGGGGAAATCAGGCAGGCAGGCAGGCGAGTGGTTAGGAGCCAGCAGTCCTGGATTGTGAGAGGGATGTCTGACTGGGCCTAAACTGGCAATTGTACATCCCCAAGGGATCCCAGATTGGAGGGGGGGGTGGCTGGGCTGAGGGACACCCCTCCAACCCCCCAGTGCATGATTTTCATGCACCAGGCCTCTAGTATTAGATAATAGTACTGTATCAATGTTAAATATCCTGTATTTGGTAATCATAGTTTGGATATGTAAGAAAAGATTCTTCTTCTCCCAGCATGTGTGTTGGGGATATATTCTGAAGTATTCAAAGGTATAGATATTATTGTCTGCACCTTACTGTTTTTTTAAAATATATTTTTATTGATTTTAGAGAGGCAGGGGGAGAGAGAAACGTCAATGATGAGATTGAATATGGATCAGCTGCCTCTTGCAGGCCCCACACTGGGAATCGAGCCCACAACCCGAGCATGTGCCCTTGACTGGAATCGAACCGGGACCCGAAGTCTGCAGACTGATGCTGGTATCCACTGAGTCAAACCAGCTAGTGCTGCAACTTACTCTTTAAAAAAATTTTTTTAAATTGATTTTAGAGAGGAAGGGAGAGGGAGAGAGAGATAGAAACAGTGATGATGAGAAAGTATCATTGATTGGCTGCCTCCTGCATGCCCCCTACTGAGGAAGGAGCCCGGAACCCAAGCATATGCCCTTGGCCAGAATCAAACCCGGGATCCTTCAGTCAGCAGGCCAACCCTCTATGCAGTGAGCCAAACCAGCTAGGGCGCAACTTACTGTTAAAATAATAATTGTGTGTGTAGTGACAAATGTGGAAAAAGTGTTCATAATTAGTGGATTAAAAAATAATTACTGGATTTGGATAGAAACTAAAAAAAAAAAATCAATTGAAAAATCTAAAAAAAAGGGGGGGTGGGGCCCAGAGTGGGCCACCTCCCTACGAAAGGGCGGGGCGGCCGCGGAGGTAAGTGCCGCCGGAAGGGGCGGGGCCACGGGAGGCCAGGAGCCGGAAGCCGCCAGGTGGGGAGCTGGGTTCACTGGTTCTCTCCTTGGCTTTCTGCTTCCCCAGGGCGTGACGCGCCTGCTGCTCACCACGATCCCCTTCTTCAGAGAGGTGATCGTCAGCTCCTTCTCCTGCGAGCACTGCGGCTGGAACAACACGGAGGTCCAGTCGGCGGGCAGGATCCAGGACCAGGGCGTGCGCTACACGCTGACGGTCCGGGCGGCCGAGGTG